AAGCTTGTCAACTGGGATACAAGACACTGAATAATTCTGATCTGACTCTCTTTTTTTGTATCGGTATTTACATTTGTTTTCAAAGTTTCTGTCTTTGTACCACAGTGCCATCTGCTGGTTGTCTGTCCATAATACAGGAGTAATTTGTTTTAGTATTTAGTCTGAGTTTATAATTGATGTGTCTATAGTGATCCTTTTTTTCAGATGGATTAATGATACACTGATAAAAACAAAACAAAACAAAACCTGCTGTATTAGCTTTTTTTTAAAGCTAATACTTACTTTCAGAGTAGGTTTACAGGATTACACAGAAACATTGTAAGGATAATAATGTATTGTGTTTTAACAAATAAAAATAATTTTTGAATAAGGTATACTAATGCCAATATATAAATTACATTTTGTACTAATATCAGTTAATTGTGTTAAATTTATATCAGCTCAGCTCTTTAGCAACTTAAGCTTTAAGCTTAAGCTTGAAGCTTAAGTTTCAGATCACTTTGGTGCACAGAGTAGCAAAAATCAGAACATCATGCAGTTCTGACTACATCTTAAAGTAACCTACTCTGCATAGAATGCCTCTTTAGATTTTATCCTGTTAAAATGCTTCAGTAACGTAATCTCTGCTATTGTGATCTGCTAAAAGCCACATGTCCAGACTCAGTCTGGATACATCTGGTCCTCGCGGAAATAAAATTCAAACATAACAGCATGCAGTGTAAGAAGAAACAGCAAAATATATTTTCCCTTGGTGAGAAGTCTTGGACAGCATCATTCATGATGTTTTTCACAATATCAAATACTGCAAACATCTCCATATATAGGGAGAACATTATTAGCAGTTTTGAAAGAATTTTGTGGAGATATAAATGACATGTGTGATTTGTACATTTTACCAAGATAAAAAGCAATTAGACCCTTCACTGGGATGAAGTGTACCAGAGCAGATCAAAGTGCTGATCTCTGAAGAGTGCATTTAATACAGCGCATTGGTTTCAAACTGATTGACCTTCAGACACACAATGACACCATGGGCCGTGTGTATCTTGCCTGTAAGAAATGCAAATCCAGCTCCATAAATATGTTTTAATTCCCCTAATGCGCCCACAGCCTGTTTAAAAAATGGGAGGGGGGGGGGGGACCTCAATCCCCTCACGAATCCTTTTAGAGAAAGCATGTAATGAAGGCATGAGAGGGAGAAAAGGATTATAGTGTGTTTTGACATGGATTCTTTTTTTTACAATTCCTCTCAGTGACACACAGACACACAGAAAGGGGGCAGAGTGGGAGTTTGGGGCCTTTTTCTGTGTTGTAAAACTTTATTGCAATCTGGGGCCTGGCTGTCATGGTAACTGGTTATATGAGCTTGCCTGGGGGGTGGATTGCAGGGTGGGGTGGGGGTGGGGGGCACCATTTTCAAAAAAGTGTGTGTGTCTGCAAATCTTCCTCTGTTTATAATTATGGGGAGAGAGAGAGAGAGAGTGTATATATCCATTAAGAAATTACAAAAGACAGAAAGGGAGGGAGAGAGAAAAAAATGAACTGTCATTTTTGAAAACAGAAGGCCAATCTCCAAAGCCTGTTACTTATTTACATACACACAGATTGAAGCACACACTGTCTATAGATTAAAGGGATATATAGACTTTAGGGATTGTGGATAAATCTAAGGGTGTGTTATCCACAGCAAACCCCTGCCCACATCACTTGTAAATTCAGCCTTTGATGATTTAAAATTTCAGCAAGCTAGAGAACAGAGCATGTTTACAGACAAGATTGTACTCATTATAAGAAAGCTGAGGAGGGCATGAGATTATTAATAAAAGTGTATCTGGACACCACATGTGTTCTCATCTGCAGAATTTGAGAGACTATTTTTTACAAAGCATCCATTTGGACTTCAGATGCAACCCAGATCCATGTGTTTTGTGTTTCAAATGTATAATAGTGGCCGTATTCCATATTGATCATGTAATAATTAGACAGTTTAAGATGCTCATGTTCAACACTAAACTTTTATTATTTATACTGGGTTTACATTCTGGAGGCCAATGAGACCTCTGTTTTGGATTAGAAAGAGTCCATTTCTAAAATAAGTTGATTGTTAAAATAAGTTGATGGTTGGTATGGACAGATGTTTATCTTGGAGCTTCTCCCATACATCGGTCAATATTTCTGTTACATCTTCTTCATAAGTGCCCCATCTAAGAACCATCGCTCCTTTATAACAATTTAACATTACTGGAAAAAGATGTACTCGTTTGCATGTTCTTTTTCCAGTGTTCACAAAACCAAGTGTACACGAATCTCCAATTATTCTTTTACAAATGCATAGTTGTAGTCAGTAGTGTACACTGAAGAAAAAATTAGCAGTTTCACAGATTCTTTGCTATACATTGCACAAAATGCATAAAACATGCTATGAATAACATAATGAGTTAACTTGTGGTGCCTCCAGATGATTTTAAATCTAAAAACTATAAATCTAAAAATACAAATATAAAAACTGTCATGGACTTCACCGCGTTTAGCTCCTGTTGGTCTCTCATGCCAAGATTCTCTCCTCTTCTCTGTGTGCTGTTATTGTCTTTGCCCATGGTTGAGACTCATTCTGGGTTCCCCTATAATCACCCACCTATCTCCAATGAGCTTATCAAGGCCATTACTTAATATAATGACTGGCAGTCAGTCTTTGGTGCACTGGTAAGCTATACAGTTAGTGAAACTGGTTCACTGTGTTGTTATCCTGCTCCTGTTTTTTTCTGGATACTGACCATTTGTCTCTTCTGCACAGATTCCTGGATTCTTTTTTCTGGTGTTGAGTGAGCCTAACCCGAGTTGAGAGGAGTTTCTTGTGTATAACTGGATTTTTAGACTCTTTTTCTCCATGGACCCTTTGATCACTGTTTCCCTCATTTTGCAGTGTGGTGTTGCTGACTTCACTGGAAATAAAACTGAACTTTGAGTTTCCAAGTCCAGCATTTGAGTCCAGCTGGCCTATATTGGCTATGATAAAAACGCAATTATAGACTTAGTTTAGTACAAATTTAATATGAAGCACAGTCTGGGTGTCCTTTTTTAGGATCATATATGTCAACATTTATAGAACAACTGTTGTTAAGTCATTGGCTGTAGACAGAAAAAAATCAAGCAACAAAATGTCTGAGAATCTATATTTATTACCGATGCTCATCAGGGAAATAGAAATACAGAAATCAAAGAGATTCTTCAGGAATGGTGATGCTATTTTTCAAACGTGTGCACCCACTTCTTGTTTATAAAGTCATTAAGATATATGCTGTATAATCATTGAAGTTTGGAGCCACATCTCATTTCTATATATTTAGTAGAATAATGAGAACTAGTTGGGGTGAGAGATGCAAATATAAATGAAAGTAGAACATATACAATTTGAACTAGATTTAAGGTTAATATTTGGTATGACCATGTGTATTTATTGATCTAGAGCCTGAACTTTTTTAGGCAAGCTTTATTGTCATTTTTTTAAGTTGCTTCTCCAGAACTATTGGATTTCTTCTTTGTACGTTGGCTACCTTTTGTGCTGTTCTCTGTCAAGCATGATCCTACACTGCTTCATTAATGATGAGAATGATAGTGTTCCATTGTTTGGTTTTCTATTCAGCTACAACTTTACTGCAATAATTATATAATTGTACTGCACTGGCAGTATGTTTGGGATGATTATCATGCTAAGAAATGAACCTGTGCCAACCAGCCATTCCCTAGATGGCATTGCATGGTGTATCAAAATCTGATGGCACTTTTCGACATTCATAATATGATTACACTTTACAAGATTCCCAACACTACTATTTAAATGCAGCCTCAAACCAGCTTTATCTGTTTATCTGCCTTAAGAATGGCTTCTTGACATCATCCCTTCCAGGCCCTGGTTCATTCTTTGCTGGATTGTTTTCCCTGTTTCTTTAGGACATGACATGCACATACTTGTCATTTGCTGTAAATAGCAGATGTAGCACATAATGCTGTAGATGTGCCAGCACAGTTTGACAGCAACAGAGCTGTGAGGTAGATGGATATATATATAGAGAAAATGTTTATATGAGGAGAAAAACAATACTTTTGCCTTAGCAAGACTTGCTTCAAGTAACCACTGCATGTCTGTGTTTGCAGTAGCAAAAAGGTATATTTTAAGCTGATGATAGAGTGATTGATATCCATGAATTCTGAAAGTTGTATATTATTGTTTTTATGAATTATTGGCAATTCTGTAAGTTTTGATAAATTTTTCTACATCACACTGCATTTAATCATTAGTTATTATTAATCTCTGGCTTTCTTACACAGTGTGGTTTTGTTCTGTCTTCTTCCCTTCACCCCCAACTGTTGTGGCAGATGGCTGCACCTCCCTGAGCCTTGTTCTGCCAGAGGTTTCTTCCTGTTAAAATAGAGTTTTCCCTTCCCATCGTCGTCAAGTACTTGCTCTTAATGTTTTGTTTGATTAGTGGAGTCTTTTTGTAGGGTTCTAAAAACACCATCTACAAAATCTGTGGACAATAAATGCTGACGTTTCTTTTTGGTAAAAAAGAAACGTCAGCATTTACTGAAATGTGTGTGTGTGTGTGAGTGTTTGTCATGTTTCCAGCTTAAAAGAAGACCCATGCTGCTACACAAGCTTAGAAACTTGTATTCGGTGGGGAAATTCCACTACGGGCTGCAACAGTAATTGGATGCAGCTTGACAGTCAGGGCGACTTCGCCTCAGTCTCCTGCCCGCTTATAAGCGGTGAAACACGATTGGTTCTTGTTTGAAGCGACGGTGAAAAATTGAAAATATGGCAAAAATATTTAATTATGCCTGCAGATTATTTAATAATATATAAGAAAATTACGTCAGAACTTCCGAGCGCTTTGGGCGTGGCATGCCCGAAACTGTCATTGGCTGCCTAATATAAACCCTTTGCATGCCTCTCCCTCTAAAATCCTTCGCTATAGAGCACACTGAAGGTTTGTGTACAGTTAACAATATGTATCAGCTGTGTAATGGACGACCGTCCTCGGCCCTCATCGTAGCCACCTCGGAAATCAAATCACCGGTGTTCTCTAGCAATCCATCTTCAATATCCGTTACGATAACGTCTCTAGATTGTGCATAAAGATGACGAGCCGGTATCAATGGCAGGAGAGAGCTACAGCGTCACCGTCAGGTGAGATCATGGCAGGATTAACAAGTTAAAGATCCCTGGGGAAAATTTTTTGGTGGACCCTAGGCAATTTGTTTAGACTACCAATCTCTTTCTCTTTCTGATTACAGCAACCTGGCGTTTTCATTCAGATCCATCGAAAGTTTCAGGTCATATATCTCTGCGACTGTGAAGTGATGAAGGCAACCTCCGGAGCAGCTTGCAGTCAACTTCACAAGTTAACTACAATGTTTTCATACTGAACTGGTTGATCAGAAATGTCAGTTTTCATAAAAGTTGGACATTCCTTTTTTGTTTTGTCCCTTTTTAAGCTATTCTCTCTCATGCCTGTTTCATCCATCTTGGAAGTTTTGTGTGTGTATTTCTAAATTTACATATATGTATACATAGGCCTATAGATATACATACACGATACACACACACACACACACACACACACACCAACAGTTTTTTTTGGATGAGCTATTGCCGGATGAGCTATAGTGGGATATTTACCTTTTTATTTTTATTTTATTTTTTGCAGTATGCCATCAAAAGCGATCCCATGGCGCCCTCACCTGCCCACATCACTCGCGAGGCAAACCGGCAGCGCAGGTAGCCACCCAGCACATTCCTCGTCATGCATTGTTCTCATATTTGCCGTGGGTCCGGCTTCTGGACTTTAGTCTGGACTGTAGTCCGCTCCAGGAGTGTGACTTGGGTATCTAAAACTACAACCAGAGAGGTCCTCCTTCACTACAAACGCAGACCTTGACTTCCAGTGAGAATGAATGACTGCTACATACGACGGCTGCTTAATTACATAAGAGAAGAGGAAGGGGGGCAAGGAGTGAAGAACGGATATAACATAAAGAAATAACATGTCATTCTGTTCTGGTCGAATTTAGCCGTAGAAAAAGCAGTATCACTGAATGGGACACCCTGATGGAGGGACAGCGGCCCACAAGAACACGGTATGGACGAGTGAACCTGTAGGATCGAGAGAAATTAGAAAATGAGATTTAGATAATGAATAGACGTAGCAGAAGAAGGGCTGGGATAAATTAATTCAGAGAGAGGAGGGCACTCGGGAAGGTGTAGCTAAGGGATCTCTGCACTCAAAAAAACAATTCATTGGATGAAAGTAATTTTATCTTGCCACTTATATTCCATCTAAACAAATCATGTTATATTAATCCATCTTGATTGTGTTGTGTCAACACGATATATGTGTGTAGGTTTAACATAATATTAACATTAACATTTAATTAATTTGACTTTTGTTCAATCAACATGTTTGCACCACGTTAGTCTAATTAAATTTATTTAAATCCATCTTATATTGTTTAAACACTTTGGCACATCAAACGTCAGTCTTGTTACATGAACTAGTAAAATATTTGTTTGTTACACCAATGATAATCTTGTTGAATGAATGAAATGTAACTTATGTCTGTAGTACATGTTGTATTCATATTAAGTAATGTTCAACAACAAAAAATAATCAATGGATTTACAGCAACTTCCAATCCACCCATCTTCTTATCTTTATCTGGGCTGCGGAAGTGATAGGGCAAGAGGGACAGGGTACATCCTGGACAGGTCGCCAGTGGCGGGTAGGTGACACTCTAACTTCCGTGTCGCTTGGCTGGCTGGTTGTTATGAGAGAATAACTTAAAAATACAATAACTTATATAATATACGCATATTATAACTTATTTCCCCCACTACTTTTCTCCCTGAAATGGATGTATTGCTTCTTTAGAATTTAATTACCCACTTCCCGCATACAGCTGGCCACCAGGAAGGCAACAATGCAATGCCGACAGATCTAACAAGCGGCTGATTGTAGCTGCCGAGGTTGGTGGTTCGATCTCTGCCTGCTCCAGTCTGGATGCCACGTGTCCAGGATCCCACGTGTCTGAATGTTAAATAGAGAAGCACTTATGAATAGAAAAAAGTCTTTGTAAGGGTGAATGTGGCATGTTTTATATAGCACTTTGAGTGCAGGTAGGGTAGTAATAACCATGTAAGACCCAGTCCATAACAAGTAAAATGAAGGGAAAAAGTATAATATAATAATATAAAAGTCCTCTGTGAACCAAAACGCACTCTCTTGTTGTCTCTTGTTAACTGTTTTTAAATTTTACTAATTCAGGAAGTAGATTCTTCTTTTTCAAGGAACCAATAAATGCTTCTTTTTTATTTATTTATTAATTATCATTTCTAGCTTCTAACACATCTACTGTACTTCTTGGAGGGTGCAGGAGAGCAAGAGCAAGAGAAAGAGATGCCTTGCAGAAATCGCGGAATGGAGGGGACATTATTGGGAATTATCACTGTTTAAACCAGAGGTTTCACACCCTGTGACAAGTGTGCATCCAGGTGGCCGGTACCACAGAAAGCGAATGCTAAAGTGTTTTCTGCCATTTATACTCATGATCTATACTGATACCTCTGACCTGGTATCGATCAGTGACTGTAAAACAGTTTAGATATCCTGTAGCCTAATAATAATCAACACGTTCTCACTCCCGAGGCATAATATTTTACGCTAGGTGAAATCATCAACATGTTACGCTTCCGGGCATCCAACACGTTCCTAAATGACGAGATCAGAAAAATGAGGAAACATGAGAACCGTTTGGAATCAGTCTACACATATTCGTTAATTTTCCTCAGCTCGCTTAAGTCTGATCCTAACAGCCATAATAACACAATTATGTATATATGATTGTAGTTTGTAGTTTTTATTTAGTTCTTATGCTGCGACAAGCGTTGTTTTGGTAAGTACGACTGTCGATCCAAATAACATCTGTAACATTAGATAAACTGATATTACTATAAAATGATATCCTGTTATTCCGGTTAAATTGTGATGGTATCTTAGGCTGATGCGTTTGGCATAAGCATTATAAGAACATTGAATAATGTGCTGAGTTAGTAGTAGTAGTAGTATTAACTCAAAGTTCTTCCCAGAGTTTATTCTCCCTGTTTGTTAAAATAACGCTGTACTCTATTACAGAAGACTTTAATTGTTATTGTCAAATGTCATACAAAGTAAATATATTAGATTTTAACTTTTTGATTTTGTTTACCCCATGTACTGTATTACAACCGCTACTAGTACTACTACTAAAACTAAAGTAGTATGAATAATGATAATAATGTATTTTTTCATAGTTTCTTACCTTGTTTCGACTGTGCCTAGAAAGGGTTTGGTCCGATAATAAATACAGTGATACAAGGATACACAGTTGCCCTTTTTATCTTAATTTCTTGTCTGTTTATATTTATTCAAATTCATCAGAAAAAAATCTGATATGGAAAACAAAAATGAATGTTTACTCCAGTTATACATTACAATTTTTTTCTGATTAAGCACATTTTTGTAACTATTGGCTATTTTTGCAAAACTCTAGACACAAATAAGAAAACTCTTCACCCAATCAGCAAAACATTGTAGTTTTCTTGTAAAAGTGAATAACCCTTGCTTAACTCTCCACACCTTTGTAAAAATGGTATTTTCGTATCCAACAGTTAACACAAGCCATCACATTAATAAGCACACAATGCACTAACTACACACTGATGGTTTGAATGAAAAACACATCTGGCTTTTGCTTTCTCTGTGCACAAGTCATGTGAGATTGAGGTCATACTTTTGTCATAGGTCCATAAGCATAGACGGATCCAAACTTCAAGTACTGGTGTTTAGTCAAACACATCAAAACAAACACAAGTGTTTATTTCAAGTCAAAACAAAATAGTAATTTCACTGAGGAAAAAAAAGAAATCAATCTACATCGCGTCGTCTCTGGCCACAAAATGTCATCTACATCACATGCAATGTCCTCTAGTCCAAGGCACTGGGGAAAATATCTACTGGAATTTTACATCTATGGTATTGTTGTGTTTCTCATTAGCATACGGCAGTGCTACAAGTCTTAGTGCAAAGTGACTGTACTAACCGATTCTCATTTCGAAATGTCCTTATGATGCTTGCTACAGTGTAGCGGCTTGAGTTAGGCTGAACCCGTTGGCCAGCTTCCCACAGGGTCATTCCATGGTTGATTACATGGTCCACTATTGTAGCTCTGATGTCATCAGTAATTATATTTCTTACTCTTCTTATCCTTCCTCCTCCCCCTCCTCGTCCTCCTCTTGCTTCTCCTTGTCCTCTTCCTCTAACTTCATCTCCTTGTCCTTTTCGTCCTCTTCGTCCTACTTCTTCACCTCCGCGTCCTCTTCCTCAGCCTCCTCTAATTCTCACTCTTCTTGCTCCCTCCATTGTACACATGGACAGCTTACCTGTAGCTCAGCGGTCCCCAACCTTTTTTGCGCCACGGACCGGTTTATGCCCGACAATATTTTCACGGACCGGCCTTTAAGGTGTCGCGGAAAAATACAACCAAATAAAACTAGTAACGGTACCGAAAAAAAGAAGATTTATTCATAACACACGTGAAAAGACCCAGGAAGACATAGTTAAAGCTAAAAACGATAACAAAATAACGCTGAAAACCGATAAAAACCCTGAAAACCATACATTTCACACCTGAGCCTCAACTCTCGCTGCCCGGTACCGGTCCGAGGCCCGGGGTTGGGGACCGCTGCTGTAGCTTATTTATAGTGCTTAGGCTGATTGCAAAGTGAACTACTTATCTAACACAGTTTTCACATGTGACAGTGTGCCAGACAATTGGCAAAATAGTGTACATAATAGCCATAAATGTGTATAGTTTTGCTAGGAATGTGTTGATCATTTGGAAATTGAGTGTAAAGCAGTGAGTTGTGTTTACAGTTCTTCAAAAAGAGTGCGGTGCAGTGGATTGTGGATAGCCACAATTTTGCAAGGTGTGTGTTACAACATGGCAAACTTAGTGCAAAGCAGTGTTTGTGCTTTTAGTTTTGCAAAGTCAGTGAGTTGTTTTGCTATAAGTATTAATATTTTTCGAAATTGTACTATAAGAATCACAGTTAGGGTTTAAGCATTCAGAAAAAACTGTAAATGATGAATGGTATTTCTTTTAAAGTCACTACATGATATTTCCTGCTTTTGAAAGCTGTATTGTAGTAGTATTAATTAAAAAGATTAATGCATTGACATGTGTCCGATGTGTGTCGCCTTAAAGTCTTCTCCAGATGAGCCCCGATCAAGTCCTCACACCGATCAAGTGGAGCTGGACAACTTGTTTTACCAGTGCTTGACTCGACAGCGTCGCCTCATGGAAATTGACATAAACATCGATCTACCAGCCAGGCGACGATAAAGTTTCAGAACCTGAGAATTCAGGTAGCAGAGTATACCTGGAGCTGCAGTTTTGTTTCAGGTCAGATGGACTGTTGGAGAAAAGGAGTTTGCAAATCTCGAAGCTGAAAAAATAATGAATACAGGGAACGTGTGAAGTGTCTTGTTTGTATACATATGTGCATATACATTATGCCCACACACACACACACACACACACACACACACACACACTTATTTGGACTCGTATGTGTATTCTGCTGTGTTTGCCTGCATATATGGTCAAGGGACATGAATCGCATTGTGTCCCAGCATGCATGCAACCCACTCCCCAGTAGAACTGTAGAACTAAAATGCTCTATTGATTTTTTTTTCACAAACTACAGGTAAGTGTGCCTAACTGAACTGAACTGGCTTCTTTTCTTTAGATTTTAGATTCTATTAGTTTTTTTTTTGTTTGTTTTTTTTGTCTAGTTTGTCTGTTGTTACCTAACACTTAATAGAAAACTCATGGCTCACATGTAAGGTCCTTAAGTTATATATTTAATTTAGATTAGATGAATATATGAAAAATATACTAGAATCAGTTATGAACAACATAAATCCTATATTTAGATACATACAGATTTCTGATCATTGTTTTATTCCTTTGCATTAGCATGGTTTTTTAAGAACAGCTTCTCAAAATCTGTTCTGTTGGTTCCATGGCTGAAGCTTGTAACTTTTCTTTTTCTTTTAAACATGGGACAGTTTTCCGGATATAGTGTGTTATTTTAGAGTGGAAAGTTTAAAGAACGTACACTATTTTTAGATTTTTAATTTTCCAACTAAAGCCCTTTATATGGGAAGTACTATTTTTAACATGCATCATGCATCAGTCTAGTTTGGCTTTATAGTTTAAAAAAATAAAGTAATTTTAGCCTGTCCTTCTAAAGAATTGCGTTAAAGTCACATTTGACTATGTTAAATATAAACACTGTCACATGTTTTACCTGGTTATTGTTCTCATTAGAAACTTTATATATTCGAAGTTAGCTTTTAACAAGCA